TTTTGGATTTCCATTTACACGAGCAAACAACATAAAATAATCACAAATTAATTTAATATATTTGTGTGGAGGAAAATATAACGATTAAAATCATTTTGCTGAATTCGATTCGCGTTTTAGATGATTTTGTTTCACTTGGAAAACTGCATTTTTCCGTTCAGTAAGAAATTCTGTTTATAGTTGAACAACGAACCTTTCTGACAAAAATATTACTGCGTACGCCTCGGATCATTTAAAATCTCGTTCATCAACTTTTTTCAATATATTTCAACACTGTGTCGAAATGGACTTGAGCCCCATCGTCCGAATGTTAATTAATCAGATTACAGTTTAGTCGCACCGTTTAAACAATTTTTCGTTTAAAAAACGATCTTATGGCTTCGGTTCATCGATCCACGGTTCGTGAAATATTTCGATATCACGGCCCAGGGTTCCCCATAAAAATAGAATATCGAGGTTCATGTCTGCACGACATTGGCCTGAATACTTTCTTCAAAATGCAACCGAATATAAATAACTGGCATTCCAAGGAATATGCTGAAAATCGTCTTACGCTTGTTTCCTCGGGCACGTAATTGGTTTGAGTTTCGAATAAACACTTCGATGATTTCTTTGACGCAGGAGTACATATTGCGTTACTTAATAACTCCTAGCTCTGCGCGGTGACCCGGAGAATTTTAACTTAATTAGGAATGGCGGGATTATCTTGTTTCGCGTTTGACCCGCGATGGACCTCAACAGTCGACAACAATAAATAAGGATGCATTGTTCGTGCAACTTGTTTCCATAAAATAAAAGAGTTTCGTTGTCTCGTGTAAGTTCTTCGGCCACTTGATACATCAAACGTGGAACTAATCTTGCTTTACAATATACCACGGCCACGATTTGTTTCTTCCTTTAAGTAATCTAATCAAGCTTATGGTAATATCTGTGGCTATAAGGAAAAACAGCGGATATCACGGTCGTAACAAAATTCAAGCTTATGCATTAATCGAGCTGCAGGGTATAAGATTTATGTATGTATTTATCAGGAAAAAAATTACGAAAAGATATTGGATAGACTCGAAAAAATAATGCAATTTAAAACGCTACAACAAAACAGAGAATTTGTGGTCAAAAGTTTCCGTGGCAAGATCTCGAAAGTAAAAACATACAGCGGCCCGTGAAAGTATTTGACCGTCTGTTGAAACACTGTGACTTTTTTAAAATTGAACTGAACGACTTGAATTTGGATGATAGAACTGAAGACAATGGACTGAAATGTTTTATTTTTAATTTTGCTACTGCTTCGAATGACAAAAAAAAATAAAAAACTCTCGTTTTTTTAACTGTTTTATTCGAGTAACGATAATTTAAAAGATGCCTTTCGCAGACCTCGGAGACTTATATACGTGCTGAAAATTTGGACGAAATCGGTTGGTCGAAAGATTTAAAAAACTGCAAATTTCTTACAGTCTTTAGTCAAAAGTGTCATAAATCGGGACAAAAATGCGATTTTCGCGATCTTTAATTTGTTGTAACGCGTAACAATGTTAACTGATTTCGATACAATCTTCAGCATGCGCATGAGTTACCGAGATCTACGAAAGGCATTTTTTAAATTATCGTTACAGACTCAAATAGAAAAGTTAGAAAACAAGAGTCTTTTATTTTCTTTTGTCATTCGAAGTAATAACAAAATTGGAAAACGATATTTTAGTCATTATCTAGTAAACTAGTTTCTCTATCATCTGAAAAAAATTCAAGTCTTTCAATCCAATTTTAAGAATGTTACAGTGTTTTAAAAGGTGGACGAATACTTTTGCAAGCCACTATTATTGTTTCAATAATCTCAGTTCAATATCTCCACATTTTCAGAGTTCTTTATTGTTCTTTCAAAACTCCGTCTTTCTAACGAATAATGAAAACATGTATCACCAATAAACATGAAGTCTGAGAGCCTTAAGAAGTCTTGAGATTTAACAATCCATTAACCAGAGGTCTGTTAAATAAGCTTTTGAATGACTACGCTATACGTAAACAAAGCTCGATAATTTTCTTTTAAATTTTCATTAAAAAAACATTAAAAAAAACATAATTTTCCAATTCTTTACTAAAGATGATAAAATTATACAATTTTTGTACTGATTGTCTAGTAAACTAGACGGTCAAAAATTTCAAAAAAATTCAAGACATTTGGTTCAATTTTCAGAAAATATGTAACTCCATTTGAAAGGGTGTCAACATACTTTCGGCAGCGACGGTACTTCATATACCGAGAATTTTCTAATAGTCCCTTTTACAGCAAAAAATCAACAGTTGAGAATTTCATAAGATATTGTTCAAAAGCCTAAACAGCTTCGACAATAATACATCAAAACAATTTGGATTATTGTAGTGTATCATCTTGCTTGAAATTGTTTTTTAACCCTTGAATGTTAGCGCGAAGCCCCATGATTGGGTCCTTATGTATACAAACATTTTGAACTAAAATATTATTGTTATTATCATCATTATTATTATTACTATTATTATTACTATTATCTTACCGTGCTTCCTTTTTTTTAAATAAATGGTAGACGACATCAAGTGTCAAACGGTGAAATAAGGCCTCGAGCTCTGGGTCCGAAAAAACCCGAACGTGGTACGGCGAGAGTTAAACGTGCATGCTAACAAAAACTAATTGCATTATTATTTTACGTTCAGTATAATGAATTTTCTAGTTGACATAACAAATCCTTTTATTCTTGAGATTTTTGTAAAAGAATTCGTAAAAATAAGAATTTGCATAAAGATCCGCAGTTTAGTTACAAACTACAAAAATGTAATTTCTCATGATTTTCGGTCAATAATTGTAAGAAAGAAGATTTTAACAACTTTAAATGCCTGCGGCTTAACTTTGCGTTAATCGTTCGCTGAAATTGTTAGCATGAGAACAAGATACTGAAATCTACAAAACGCATTGTTTAAATTTCTGTTGTAAATTACGATAATAAAAGTAAAAAAGAGAACTCCATTTTTCAATTCTTTCTACCATTCCATCCAACCGAACTTCTGCAAAACGTCGTTAACTAATTTTCTGGTAATATAGTTAGGTCTAACATTTCGAATAAATTCAAGTCATTTGCTATTTTGACGTCACGAAGGAATGACAATTTTCTGTCACGATGAATATATTTGACATGCGTACTGCCGTTTATATCGCAATTTTAGTGAAAATTGAAATATATAATCTTAAATTTGAAGATGTGTTTCGAATATTTAGAGGGCTGAAACGAGATAAAACGAATGAATAAAGAAATATAAATAATTATTACGAAAAAACTGTATCTAGTTTTTGCGTTAGGAGGTAGGTTTAACCCTTAAATGCATGATTTTTTGCTTTGAATTTTAAAAAATCGTTTTTTATAGGAATGTAGTCACAGGTTACGTAAAAAATAAATAAAAAATCTAGGTAATAACAATGAGTATTTATTTTGAAAAAAATTTGTATGCAGACTTTTGGCAACAATATGCGTCTATTACTAAAATTATTGTAGACGTAAACACATGGTCATGTATTTATATTATCTATTAGTATAGGAATTTTCACATTATTTATAAATGAAATGCAGCAAAGCAATTGCGATTTTTGTTGTGACACAAAGCAACCTTGCATTTGATGCACTCAATCCGTGAAAATCCTTTGCAACCTGGAAATTATCACCCACCACATTCAAATGTCAAAACACATATAACTTACTCGCCAAAAGCAATGTCAAGTCTTTTATTTCACACATGGTCTATCGTCTATTGTTATCAACGTGTGATCGGAAACGCACATACTCAGGTTTTTGAATAAAATTAAGTGCAACTGGAATGTAGACAATTGGCAACAGAATGCAAGAGTTAGCTAGTTAAAAAAGTGTCAACATACTTTCCGTGACGACTGTAGATCATCCATTGAGGCATTCCGCTGTTCTAAAATCAAAAACGACGTTTCACCATACATTCTCCTAGAAGCGTTCAATCTTCCCAATCACGGGCAAGCAGGTACCAGACCTAAGTGTATCTGGACTATTTTCGCTTCGTTATCGTTATTCCCGGTGGCTCTCCTGGCAATGTAGTTTAGCATATACGCGCTCGAGGCCGGTCAACATTTTCAACACAAAAACATTTCGATCCAGACGAACGGCGCGGGAATCGCGAAAAAGGAGAAGAAGAGGAAGCGTGGAAGAGAGGAACGTCGAAGTTACAAGAGAGATAGAGATAGAGAGAGAGAGAGACAAGGCAAGCAAATAAGAAAGAAAGAGAGAGAGCCGGCAGAGACAGAGAGGGAGAGAAAAAGAGACAGCGGCATTATACGCGTTCGCATTCAGTCTGCCCGCGGCGTTCGTGCCAGTCGTGTTCCGTCTCCTCTTTCGTGGCTTTTGTTGTTTTTGTTTTTCCAGTTTCCGACAACCTTCTTCGCCGGCCACTTAAATGAACGAAACAAAAAGCACGCCGAGCCCGAGCATATAGTCGCGACGCGAAGGTTCTGCGTACACCGATAACGATGTGCTTCTTCTCTTTTTAAGCGCGACCACGCGAGCTCCTACACATTATCCCCGATGACATAGGTAAGGGAACTTTCCTTCTTTCCGGCATGGTGATCCCCCGACAGGAAGCGGTTTCCCTTTTCCCGGTTTCGAGCGTGAGTCAGATCTTTTTTTTTCGAGGAAACATTGGATTCGACCGTGACAGACCGGCGCGGTCGAGTGAAAGTTGATCGGATATATTTTTCCGCGATGTTTGCCACCTCGTTTGGGCCGATCGTGGGCCGATCGAATGTGAGAAACGGTCACAATGCGTTCTGTTCGTGGTTCGAACGCGTTTCCTGTCGGCGATTGCCTAACGTATCGGCTGCAAACGCTTTTACGCCGCGCCGCACCGTTCTGAAACTGTGAATGCTGTCACGCTACGCTAAAACTGCAAGAAATGGTAGAAATGACTGGAAAAGTTCTGGAGGACTTTACATATGTATCTGCTCCGTACCTATGAGTTTCTCTGACCAATAACTTTGCTCAGGCGAGACAAGAAAAGTTGTCTACCTACTTCGCGGGAAAGCAGAATCGCGCGAAACACTTTGGACATCCGAGTTCCGCGTAATCTTCGAGATAATCAAGGTTATGTCAAAGATTTTGATCCATGCGATAGCAGCAAGTAACCGAAGGTTCCCTCAAAGTTTGAAGTCTATCGGACAAGTAGATCTTGACGTATCGTATCGGACACACACATCGGTGAATGAGATTCCTTGCTACAACTTGCTTCAAACATCTACAGGGTGAATTATTTAACTCTTTCATGTGAATATTTTTCGGAAACTATATTCATGTTGTAGAGAAAAATGTTTCGAACAGAAGTTGTTCGCTATTATTCTTATTTATCAAAATATAAAGGTCGCTTCGCACAAAATATGAAACAATTGCGCATGTGTCACTCGCATCACTTAATCAGCTAGATGCTTGCATTGATTGTAACGGACGACATTTTGAACATTTCTTGCATTAAAAACCAACTAAAGTATATCTCGGTGAACACTAACTATATAACTATATAGCTATATAACTATATAACTATATAACTATATAACTATATAACTATATAGCTATATAATAACTAAAGTATATCTCTTACACCTTATATAATGATTTTTTATTACGTATTTGATACTTTCGAATGGCATGAATAAATGTTACACGTTGTAAGTAAAAATAACTCAAGGTCGTTCTCATATTTTGATAAAAAAGGAAAAAAATAGAAAATAATGAATTGTTGTTGTTATACCAGACGACTTTCGTTCGACACATTGTTTTATGCATGTAGCTTAACATGTAGTGTAACACAAGTTTAACACTTGACTGCCACGTCACGACCTCGACAAATTCATAAGATCAAAGTATTTCCTTTAACTGAATTAAAATTGCAAAATACAGTTTATACGACATCTGCTACTTTTTACAACGTTCTTACGTTTCGCGAATCTTGATAAAATTAGTCAATGGCAGTCAAAGTATTAACAAAGAAGATAAATTAACAATGTAATACAATAATTTCTTTGTACATTTGTTAATTACAAGAAAATTGTTAAACGCGTGTTAGATGTAACGTAACCATTTGAATGTCTATTATTAAGCTTCCGCAAACTAAAGTGTTAAATACATTTACATAGTAATTACCGTGACAAATCAAGAAAAATACGTCTCCCTCGTTTTTAATCCGCGGAACTTCGAAGATCAATCTGCTCTTCTTCATGGAATTCGAAGATGCGTTAAATCGATGAATCCGTTCATCAATTCACTGCTAACATTCTCATGATCTCTGCTCATTTCGAATGCGATAATAAATGATAGGAATTGCTAATTCAAAAGTTTCCGTGTATTTTACAAACCTGCAGATATCATAATTGTACAAAGATTTATCGTTTAGGAAGAACAGATTTCCTAGTATTTCTCGAAAACAATAAGCTCGCGCGCACAGCATACTATGCAGATGGTTATCATTTTAAATTAATTATGAATCGACTTCTATAACAGCAAAGAAAATATTAGGTCGGATCATAAATAAACCCAGTTTCTTGGAACAAATTGTGATCGCGCACTATCATCCTAATGATTCATCAAACTCGAACCTGGCAAATAGTAACAAGTCATTGCAAACAATGGCGAATATGTAACTGGCGAATTTTGACGATGGATAAAGTTGATTTAAACGGAAATTGTGAGTCAACCTAATTGCGTAGTATACATTAAATTGAGCTAACTGATTTGAATTTCTGGATGATTAGGACTACACTTTGCTGTACAATAATTAAAATACTTACTTTTAATTTTGCTATTACTTGGAATGACAAGAAAATAAATAACTCACGTTTTTACAACTTTTTTATTCGTACCCATAGCGAACATTTAAACGATACGTCTTGTTGAAAATTTCATCGAAATCCGTTAACATTGTTATGAGTTATAAATAATTAAAGATAGCGAAATTTGCAGTTTTCCACGACTTTCAACCAGAAACTGTGAGAAATCCCGAACTTGACTCTGCGTGAACAGATTTCGATGAAATTTCTAGCACGCATATAAGTTAGCAAGACTTACAAAACGCATTTTTTAAATTTTCATTATAGGCTCGCATAAGGAAAATTAAAAAATGAGATCTTTTTATATTATTTTTTTCATTCCAAGTAATAGCAAGATTAAAAATAAAGCGTTTTGGTCATTGTCTAGTAGACGAGTTACTCTATTGTCTCAAAAAAATTCAAGTCATTCAGTCGAGTTTTACAAAGTCGAGTTTTTTACAGATCAAGTTAACGCACACTGTCAAATAAGAATAGTAAACAATGTCCATGAAACCGCAGGCCACGCTGTCATTCAATTTCATCTTTTCCCTGATCCGTGACCAGCATGATAGATCCATCTAGTGCGGATCTTTATGCAGAGATAAATTTTTCTGTGATTTACAGAAATTGAGAACGAAAAAGAATTTCTACGCTTTATTAGTCGCTTCAAAAAAAATATACATACAATGCTGTAGATGCAGAAAAATCTGCAATCTAGTGATGAAATATTCTATGCAGTGCCCATATATTTCACTCGTTTGTACTAAATCTGTCGTGGACGCTTCCATGCGGTGCTATAGGGTATAAGTATCTTTACTGAAGGATATGTGGATGCTGTCGTTTTTAAGCAAATACCATCGCCTAAAATTCCAAAGTCATGTTAACACTAAACGTACCAAGCACTAAAAGCGAGTGACGTATGTTGTCCTATAAGAATGGGATGATGAATTTATGTAGACGTTTCGGCGTTTATATTATACAGGATGTCTCAACTGAAAGAGGACACCAAAGTGTCTCTGTTATTTTTGGAGGTATCGAAAAACTTTATTAACAATAGCTTTCAGTTCAGATAGATGTATAATAGGAACGTAATAATTTTTTCGCAGCTGGAGAATTTTCAGAGATTGCAAGGTCATCTTCGCTTTTTTGGTTATAATTATCTATTTTTTTAAACGTAAGTTGATGCAACTCGACATTTTCTATAAAAAGATATTGATCTATTTATGTCGAAAAATGACTATTTTAGCAGATATTCAGTGTTATCTTCCGATGAAAGTACATTTACGAATCGTGAAAATCTTAATGTGCATAATATATCCTTTTTAGGCACGGCAAGATCTACAAAATTAAAGTTAAAATGTTTGCTAATCTAATAAATTTTCGACATATATAAATTAATACTTTTTTTGTAGAAAACGTCGAGCTGCATCAACTAATGTTTAAAAAAGCAGAAGTGATTATAATAAAAAATAATGACCTTCATTTATTTTATAATTTATTACACAGGGTGTCCCAGGTTTTAATGTTCAAACTTTGTCAGTATATTCTACGGCACAAAGTAAGAAAAAAATGTTATGCAAACATAGGGCATATAGAGCCTGTCTCTTATACACATCTAGATGTGTATAAGAGACAGGCTCTATATGCCCTATGTTTGCATAACATTTTTTTCTTACTTTGTGCCGTAGAATATACTGACAAAGTTTGAACATTAAAACCTGGGACACCTGTCTCTTATACACATCTAGATGTGTATAAGAGACAGGCTCTATATGCCCTATGTTTGCATAACATTTTTTTCTTACTTTGTGCCGTAGAATATACTGACAAAGTTTGAACATTAAAACCTGGGACACCTGTCTCTTATACACATCTAGATGTGTATAAGAGACAGGCTCTATATGCCCTATGTTTGCATAACATTTTTTTCTTACTTTGTGCCGTAGAATATACTGACAAAGTTTGAACATTAAAACCTGGGACACCTGTCTCTTATACACATCTAGATGTGTATAAGAGACAGGCTCTATATGCCCTATGTTTGCATAACATTTTTTTCTTACTTTGTGCCGTAGAATATACTGACAAAGTTTGAACATTAAAACCTGGGACACCTGTCTCTTATACACATCTAGATGTGTATAAGAGACAGGCTCTATATGCCCTATGTTTGCATAACATTTTTTTCTTACTTTGTGCCGTAGAATATACTGACAAAGTTTGAACATTAAAACCTGGGACACCTGTCTCTTATACACATCTAGATGTGTATAAGAGACAGGCTCTATATGCCCTATGTTTGCATAACATTTTTTTCTTACTTTGTGCCGTAGAATATACTGACAAAGTTTGAACATTAAAACCTGGGACACCTGTCTCTTATACACATCTAGATGTGTATAAGAGACAGGCTCTATATGCCCTATGTTTGCATAACATTTTTTTCTTACTTTGTGCCGTAGAATATACTGACAAAGTTTGAACATTAAAACCTGGGACACCTGTCTCTTATACACATCTAGATGTGTATAAGAGACAGGCTCTATATGCCCTATGTTTGCATAACATTTTTTTCTTACTTTGTGCCGTAGAATATACTGACAAAGTTTGAACATTAAAACCTGGGACACCTGTCTCTTATACACATCTAGATGTGTATAAGAGACAGGCTCTATATGCCCTATGTTTGCATAACATTTTTTTCTTACTTTGTGCCGTAGAATATACTGACAAAGTTTGAACATTAAAACCTGGGACACCTGTCTCTTATACACATCTAGATGTGTATAAGAGACAGGCTCTATATGCCCTATGTTTGCATAACATTTTTTTCTTACTTTGTGCCGTAGAATATACTGACAAAGTTTGAACATTAAAACCTGGGACACCCTGTATAATTACGTTCATGTTATACATCTGCTTGAACTGAAAAGCTTTTGTAAATAAAGTTTTTCGATACCTCCAAAAATAACGGAGATACTTAAGGGGCCTCCTTCAGCTGAGACACTGTATATGTATACATACACGAATTAATAAAATTCGATCGTTTTTGCTAAAAATTGCTTATTATATTTATTTTCGTAATATCCTGATATCAAAACATTCCATTATCCAAAAATTTCATTCAAATTCTCTGTTAGGTAATAATTAGAGTGCAGATTTTATGCATTTATGACAAAAATAAATAGTTCTAATAAAACAAAAAGAAATAAACAAAACTAAAAAGACATTAGAAGAATTTAAAAAAGAAGGGGTACCTTCATCTTACCTTTCATTTCTTACAATTGACTCAAATCATTTCTATTTCGCATAAGGATCCGCAGTCTCCTGATAACGTATCTAAATAATGCAATGTTTAGATAATAGAACGTTTGAATACCAGAATATATTGTTTGTAAAAATAAATAAAGGAGTCTCTTACTGTAATTTTAAAACAGAACAATGGGAATGTGACTATTTTGACTCCTACAGTAAGTTTAGCATTATAAATCGAGCGAATGACCTACTAGCCGCGAAATCTTAGAAAGATTTAATATCGTTACACTTACGCGGATTCCTTGGCGCATATGTACCTACGCTCGCGGTCAAGTACACGTAACCTGTATCGAAGATCATCACGCGTTCCGTCGTCTTTGTCTCATTAAATACGCCAGTAATTACCATTTATCTCGTACATTGTCGATCAATGATGTAATAGAACCTTTACAAAATAGAAGAAAATTGAATGTAGAAAAATGATTGAAGCACGCAAACGTAACGCTAATCGTCGACTAATTAGCGCTAATTTCTGATTAAGTCGTTAGCGAATGCAGACGGATGTACTATAATAAAAGTATAGAACATTAATTACTAGTCCTAGCTGGGTTTTAATATTACACTCGAACTCGGACTTTGGGCGAGCATCGCACCGACGATGGGATCTCACGAGTGTCAGAATTCGAATCTTGATTGGATTTTGGCATCCCGTTAGAGAATTGCTCTCGGTAGCGTAAAATCGTAGCTCTTTATGCCCCTGAAATAATTTTACGAAAAAACGCTTTGCAAATCGGAAATGCAAATTTTGTTCCGACGATAATAACATATACACGGTGTCCCAAGATTATGGTGCTTCCGGGAAATTAGGGGTTCCTGAGGTTATTTGAAGTAACTTTTTCCTTTACAAAATTTTTCTCCGAGACGTCGTTAACGAGTTATTAACGAAAAAGAGTGACCAATGAGAGGTGAGCTCGGCTGGTGTGAAGCGGCCGGAACCCAGTTCTGCTGATTGGCTCGGTCTCCTAGCGCTTGGCGAGCTCGTCTCTTATTGGTCTGCGTTTTTCGCTAATAACTCGTAAACAAAGCTGCGGATTGCAATTTCGCTGAGGAAAAAATTACTCCAAATAACCTCAGGAATCCCGCATTTCCCGGAAGTACCATATTTTTGAAACACCTTATAGATACTTAACAAATTGAGTATCTCGACGCTTAAATAAATCGTGTCGTTCATTTCGCAAAGCCGAAAATAGAAGAGTCCTAATTAATGATGTCCTTCGTTCCCGGTGGTGTTTCTCGCTACTACGCGCTTCGACACGTAATAAATAAAATCGATAACGCGTGCGCTAATTCCATTTGTTTTGGTTAAAACCCTTCGCAGAGAGATGCTCCAATGCATAAATCTAATATAAAGGTCAAGGTAAAAAAAAAGGTGTTCGATTAAATTCTCCGCGTTAAAGCTTCGATAAAAATTGAACAACGCGGATCACTTCTTCCGGTTTCCGCAGAAACTTCGCGGAATTCGATTATAGAATAAAGACATTCTACCACGTTTCAATTTAATGCGAGTGTTTATAGCTTTATGCAAAGAAGGTTTGCCCAGTCTCATCGTCGATTGATTAATGATGTTCGCACAAGTGTTCGCAATCGCAAAATTAACCGATTACCGAGCGAATTATTCTTCTTTTTTTTCTTTTTGCCAAATCGCCCGAGCTAATCGAACGGTTCTCTAGTTATTCGCGAGCGGAACATATTGTACAGTGTTCGACACGGTGTTCGGTATTCGATCGAGCAATCAATTAAGACATACCGGGCGACTGACGACGTTAGGTCTCGTAATGAATTGACGCGACGCACGAGAAACACATGCGTTAGGCTGTTTTAATGCGCCCCGTGAACGTTTATAATCCGTGGCAAGGACAAGCCAATTTGCTGCCTCAATGATATGATCGCCAGCGCTAAATTGAGTACATTGGCAGCTCTAATTAACCGGTCGGCGTAATGTATGCGGATTGTTTATCGACTCGAGGAAAACGCGGCTGAAAAATACGCGTGCGCCCGATTCGGTTAATTAAAACGTTCTGGTTGATTTGATGCACGCTCGCAGACGTTATCGTCCACATTCCCTGTTATCGTCACACGCTCCACACTGTTGCATAATAATCTTTTTAACGCTAAACCGTCCGCGTCAAACACTCGTGGGTGGTTCGTGAACTTGCATACACACAGGCAACGCGCGCATTATGCACACGAGCCTTCGTCGAATCATACTGCCGGCAGATATTTCTAATATAAATTGTGTATTTGTTTAACTCTCGTTGGGATTATTAAGAATCTGTAACGCCTTCTGCAGTCACGTTTACAAAACTTATTTTTTTTTTACAAAGCTAATTTGTTTCGTAAATGTTAAAATCGATATTAAATGTTAAATCAAAAGTTAAAATCGATTGCATCGGCTACTTCGAAACGCAGTCGAATTTCAATAAGATCGTCCCACGGTGACCATGATTGCGGCCATTTTGTTTATCAGAAATAAAAAAAACATGTAAGATTCTCAATTAGTAACGAGTAGACCGCGGATCTTTATGCAAAACAAAAATTCTCTGCGTTAGTTGCAATAAATTCAAGCTAAATAATCAGTCCATTGTTACTTTAATCATATTAATCGATTAAAAATAAGACGTTGATAATTTTAAGTTCTTTGAATTTTTCTTCCGTTTTAAATTGCAGCCACCAAATTTTGTCATAAATACATAAAATCCGCAGTCTAGTAATAAATTTGGCAATAGCAGGTATTGGAAAAAAGAAAAAAGGCGATAATTATAAAAATAGCGACATTTTCAAATTTGTTTATCGATTTTTCCTCCTGATTTTTCAATATTAGGGCCTGAAAAAGTGTAACGAATATAAATTTTGACCTGGTTCTAGTACGGGCTGTAGGCACAATACTGAATATGCAACTATAGTGACTCCCATTAATACTCAGACACTTTTTAAAACTAGAATAAACGATTTGAATTTTGTTTAGTTTTGAAGATATCCTAGGCAATGACTAAACTACTTTGTTACAATTTTGCTATTACTTGGAATGATACAACAAAATAAAAGACTCTCGTTTTTTAACTGTTTTTTATCTGAACCTATAATGAAAATTTAAAAAATGTGTTTTGTAGATCTTGGCAAGTTATACGCATGCTGAAAATTTCATCGAAATCGGTTAACGCAAAATCAAGTTACAAGTGTACAAAGATTGTAAATCGGGACAAAACCGTGATTTTTAATTGTTTACAGCTCATACCAAGGTCAACCGATTTCGGTGAAATATTTAACATAAAAACACATACAAAACACATTTTTTAAATTTTCGTTATAGGTTCAGATAAAAAAATTAAAAAAACGAGAATTTTTAATTTTCCTTTGTCATTCTAAGCGATAGCAAAATTACAATAGAATTAGAAGATACTATATACAATATAAATATAAATATATACAAATTATATATTATATATAAATATATATAAATTATATATTATATATATGCAATAAAAGAAAGTACAAAACATAAATAATAATAGCAGTAGTGGAGATAAGGATAAACATAAAGAAATACAGAAGATTAGCAAATAAGGAAAGGAAAGAAGATAGTGAGATATGTAAGGAGGGTATACATATAGGGGAACTAAGTAGCCCGATGTACTTCTAACGGCCATGAAATCAGTATGACGAAAGGATTCATAACAGGTCTGAAAAAAAACCGAGAAAGTGCCGTAGCGGTTTGCGATATTTAAAATTAGACAACAATTAGACAACAATAGAGCATTCGGTGTGATTCAGTACGAAAAAATAGATGTGTGTCTGAAGCTGATGCGAAGTTGGGTCAGTTTTTCTCGGAAAACAAGTGAAAATTAGAGTTATTAGAGAGAAACACGACAAATTAAAGCTACAATGAACTAACAACTATTTTATCTTCAAACAGGTGAAAACTCGCGAACCAATTGCCGTGGCAAGTGATCAACTAGATCGCGGATCATCAAATGGACGAATCCGTTGCCCAGAAGACGGATTGTCATCTGCTCCAGTCATCGAAACTTCCGTCCAATGACCATCAAAACAGCAGCCCGCAGGACAACAATGCCGATCTGTTGAGAGTTCCGAAACGGAAGCTGTCGGTGTTCTGTCGATCGTTCGACGTGATCGAGGCGGAGGATCAAGAGGACACTCTCGAATTACATCGGACGTCCAGCAATCCCACGGTTCGTCTGGCAGACATGCAAGATGAGGGATCTCAGCGAGATCGTGAAGCGAGTCCTTGCAGGAAAGGCTTCGTCAACACTTGTCGATCGTTGATCGAGAATGGCAAATTCGTCAGTAATCCGTCACACGATTCTCTTAACGAGAGACCTGACAGTCCTCGCTGTTTCCCGGCGAGAAGATCGCCCGTGATGGAGCTGAAGCTGCCTCGAGTCAGAGAAGACATCGATAATTGCTCGACGATCAATGAAATCTCCGAGGAGAAGCAGCCTAATTTGAAAAACGGAGAACCGAAAGTAAGATTCGGTTGAAATAGCGCGCACATAGAGAAAATTGACTCTTAACGGTCGCGCGTTCTCTCGGGAGAGTATTTAGGTCCAGGCTTTATTTTCACAGTAAACCAAATATTCACGGTAAATCAAATGACTCGCCTTGAAACGTCGCTACCTATCGCTGCGAAAATATTTTCATTGGGAATTCTTGGACCCGGCGCAACTGTTTTTCATATTTCGATGGATTCCCGTATCAGCGAACACTGGGGAAAATTCATTCGTTCGTCAAATCCGTGTTCGATACGCGGAACCCGCGAATCGAGCCAATTATGCGACAACTGATAAACATGACGTCGGCTGTTTTCTTGCAACAAGAGTACGATGCACGCGGTACTTTTCTGAATTTTTACCTCCTTCGGAGGTCTCAAGAGTCGATGAATTGTATACTTTCATCTATTGCGATTTTCCACTGAGATCGTAATTAACAGACTGGGGAATTTTATGGAATTTTATGGATTTCTATGGAACGGAAAGTTTAGTTACAATGTGTTATGTATGCGTAATTTGAAACGGTGAACAAATTCAAAGAAACAAGAAACGTCGATGCATTAATTTGAACTTATCGAAACGATTAAAGAAGAGAAAAAACTTGCGACGCAGACGATTTTTATTTTGCATAAAGATCCGCAGTTTAGCCGAGAGTAATTTAATAATATCTTCACAGACTTTTTTTTCTGTTTCAAGTCGATACGCAACGTGTGACACTTTGCTCCATCTTTTTGTAGCAACTTGTAAAAACATCGCGATTTTTTGCGACACCCTTATAAATAAAGAATACGATTCTAATCTGTGAATTTGAAAGGCGGTCGAAATTAGAATCTTATGCAAGCCTTAGTTAGTTTCGGATTATTTCATGTATTTCTTTATCTTGAACGCTTAATTGCCCTAATTTTTAATAATTTACGAAATACTGTGATGAAGATTGATGAAGATTTCATACGTAATCTGCTAAATACGAATGCTATTCGCTTCTTCCGAATCGAAACAAAGTTTAATTCCTCTGTTGTCGGAACAAATCAAAAATTGTCTCGTTCTATCAGGAAAATTATCAACTTGTGTCAAGGCTGTGTCACAAATTGTAGGACAGACGGTTACCGAACAAAAGAATTTTTTAATCCCTGAACTGGAAAACGATTTTTATTTACGAATGTGACAGAAATTTTCAGATTAGAATCCCATGGCCATCTGTAACAAGTTCGGACTGTTTTATATATTTCCTTTGTTTCCTGTAGAATTGTAAATTACGCATTTTCTTAGTAGTTTAATAAAGATTACAATTTTACAACGATCCAATGAATGCGGAATATAAATAATTGTGGTTCATGGATGTCATGGATCGTTTCAAATAAGAATCTCATGCAAGTCTCCGATAATTCTGGATCATTTCATGTTTTCTTTATTTCGACTACAGTGAATTGTTCCTAATTGAGAAGATACGATTATTCGAGCCTTGCGATTCGAGCCTTTATAGTTACCAATTATCAACAACTAGAAATCGTACTAACAACAATAACAACTAATCGTATCTCTTCTTCCCAAATTGTCCATTTTCTTGCGCAATCTGAGCATCAATAAGGGAGAATTTACTGTATTTGGTAGCACATTTTTCTAGTAACTTACAACAGACTGTAACTCTGCGGCCCATCGATGAACAAAGAATGTAAATATATAAACCAGCAAATGATTTTTATCTGCGAAAGTGAACGAAAATTCGAAATTAGTATCTCCCGCCAATCTGTGCAATAAATAATTGTAATTTATGGATTCGAAGATAAAGCCTCGCGCCGATCCGTTAAGAGTCGAAACAAGTTTCCCCGCTCGTAATGGTTCGCATTTTCGATCAGAGCGTCGACAAAAATGTCGCCAACTCTTCCACAGAGGGGGACCATCTTCCGGTATCGGAGAAGATCGCGCCGTCCACCAGTGAAAGCACGGAAAACGACGATACGGGGAAGAATTTCAGGCCCGGACAGAATCAACAAGCAGGGAGTGCAAGCGACGGTAAATCTGCGGGAATTCTACAAAACTAAAAATATATGATAATTGTATATTTATCGGGTTCGGCTATACTCTCGTTCGCAGATCTGGCCAAGATCAAAGATCTGGCGTGTCCGCCGACGTTTGTGGACGAGTCGAGTACCGATCGCGGGAAATACATAGCAGTCGGCACCGAAATGTCGAATCACGAGGATACCTCCATCGGTTCCGAAAGCGGGGACGAGACGATGAACAAGGAAAGCGATGGAAGGATCGAGGAGACGAGGAACGACCGATCGCGAGCCTCGTCGCCTCTTTCGATTGCTCCGGTCCCAGGAGAAACGGATTCGAATCGGACGACCGACGGAGAGAAAACGGAGGACCTTGTTCGGTCGAACCGAGAGAAGCGACAAGTTGGTAATCCTTATGCTGCTATTTATTATATTCTAGTTGACGATGACGACGGCTGCCAAAATTGTTGCCGACTAAGTTACCAGATTCACACAACTACCAAGCTCGAAACGCGACTGATATATATATATATATTGTTTTGTAAGGACGACAAGATTGGATCTACTCAACTTTGTACGATTTCTATCGTAACGTAAACGTTTTTACAAATTCAGTAACTGTAAAAGAAAAACGGTTAGAGACCAATCATTTTGACTCTAGCATTAATAGGCTTCCGAATCTGTTATAATAATCTCAAGAAATTGTATGAGGCTGCTTATTGTTGCTATTACGCATCATTACTGTACTAACGCATCATTTATCGACTGTTCCTGGATCATTTTTTAACATTTCATTTCGTCACAACCGGAGGCTCCTTAGTACGGTTAGGGAAAAATAGATTTTTGTAATAGTAAATAGATTACAAATATATATATATATAAATCATTACAAAAATCTATTTTTCCCTAACCGTACTAAGGAGCCTCCGGTTGTGACGAAATGAAATGTTAAAAAATGATCCAGGAACAGTCGATAAATGATGCGTTAGTACTAAGAAATGCAAACAGA